CCTCCTCAAGCATGTGACCATGTAAGGCCTTGATGCATCACCTGGGGCGAGCGGGCAAGACTGGATGCGCGATCCTCATGTACACAGACTCGCAGGTATGTTTGAGTTTATTGTGATTGTATGAGATGGTAAAATGCACCATCCTTGTGTAAACTGACTCGCAGGTGCATGTGATTGTGCGGACGTGAAGGATGCGATGTGAAGGTAATCAAGTGCACCATCCCTGTACACCAACTCTCATGTGTGTGTGTGTGTGTGTGTGTGTGTGTGTGTGTGTGTGTGTGTGTGGGGGGGGTGGTGTGTGGCTAAGAAGACCGAATGCATGTGGTTGTGAAGTGTACCCAAGGTTAAAAAAAACGCCATTTTTTTGAAAATTTACCGTAAAAAACGGCCGTAAAAAACGGTAAAAAACGGTTCCAGAAGGTGGTTTCGTTCGAAGAAAAAATCAGCCATTTATGGGACAAAATTGATGGCGAAAATCACCAGCATGAAGAGGACAAACACCTCCTTGCATGAGTGCGCTTGTGGGCATGATTGAAAATGTATTTGACCTTGTTTTTCCCTTTTTTTCTTGGTGACGACAGTTTTCTAACAAAAAAACGCCGTTTTTTTGGAAAATTACCGTAAAAAACGGACCGTTTTTTACGAAAACCGTATTTTTCATCCTTGAGTGTACCATCATCATGTAACGCCCACTCACAGGTACGATTGGCTGTGTGTTATGACTGCAACCTCTCCTGCCTGTGTTATGGCTGAACCTTCTTTCCTTCCCCCCTGCCCCTCTCCTCCCCCCAATCAGCTCCGCTCACTGCGCATGATTGAGCGTGATATCGGCTGCAAGTTTGAAAAGGCCTCCCCGCCCCACCCAGACGATGTCCTCCAAGCCTCCGCCAACCAGTCAGCCGCCCTCATCTCCCGCGTCCACCCTGACTCCGCCGAATTATTCCCCTCATCACCCATCCTCCTCTCCCTCCTCCCCCTTTGTTTGAACTTGGCTCATGACTCTGAAGCTTAAATTGAACCCCCCTTTTTTTTCTCCTCTTCTTCCCTCCCTTCTACCAACAGCTCCGCTCGCTGCGCATGATAGAGCGGGACATCGGCTGCAAGTTTGAAAAGGCCTCCCCGCCCCACCCAGACGATGTGCTCCAAGCCTCCGCCAACCAGTCAGCCGCCCTCATCTCCCGCGTGCACCCGGAACTCGCCGAATCCTTCCTGGAAACTGCGGAGAAGCTTCTGGAGGAGCGCGGGCCGATGGCACTAGCTGCCGCAATCGCCCACCTGAGCGGATTCAGCCAGCCGCCCGCCGCGCGGTCGCTGCTGACGCACGAGGAGGGGTATGTGACGGTGCGCGTGATTCGCACCGCGAAAAGCCGCAACGGCCCGCTCATCTCCCCGCGCGCGGTCATGGGGACTCTCGGGGAGATTTGCCGCCGCGCTGCTGACAACGTTGGGAAGATCAAGATCCTGGGCGAACGAGATGTGAGTGGGGCTGTGGGGGTTTAGGGGGACTGGGGGATGGGGATGGATGTATTATGTGTATGTGTGGGCGGAGAGGGGGTATTATGTGAAGGTGCTGACGCACGAGGAGGGGTATGTGACGGTGCGCGTGATCCGCACGGCCAAGAGCCGCAACGGCCCGCTCATCTCCCCGCGCGCGGTCATGGGGACTCTCGGGGAGATTTGCTGCCGCGCTGCTGACAACGTTGGGAAGATCAAGATTCTGGGCGAGCGAGATGTGAGTGGGGGTTGCGGGTTTTGGGGTTTGAGGTGTGAGTCTGTCTGTGGGGTTAGAGGGAGCCCACCTGAGCGGATTCAGCCAGCCGCCCGCCGCCCGGTCGCTGCTGACGCATGAGGAGGGGTATGTGACGGTGCGCGTGATCCGCACCGCCAAGAGCAGGAATGGCCCGCTCATCTCCCCGCGCGCGGTCATGGGGACTCTGGGGGAGATTTGCCGCCGCGCTGCAGATAATGTTGGCAAGATCAAGATTCTGGGCGAGCGAGATGTGAGTCCGTGGGAGTTGGAAGGAGTGGGATTGCCTAGTCTGTGGGTTTATGGGTGATGGGGACGCTCGGGGAGATTTGCCGCCGCGCTGCTGACAACGTTGGGAAGATCAAGATTCTGGGCGAGCGAGATGTGAGTGGTGGTGTGGGGAGAGTGAGAACTGTTGGGGGACTGGGATTGGGGATTGGGGAACGGGGATTGGGGATTGGGCGTTGTAGTGCGGATTGGGCATCGGGTGTGCGTGGGCTGAGTCCTGAGGCATTGGCTATATCAGGATGCTCTACCTTCCTCAGCCTTCCTCACCCTGAGTGTTCATTGGATTGAGCGTCTTCAACCTTTCTCCTCTCCCTTCCACTGTTGCCTCTCTCACGTCCTTGTTACTTCAGGTGGAGGGAGGGAGCAGTGTTTGAACTACCTGAGGACATGGCAAACGAGTTGCTGAGCTTCTAGATTGTTGTCCCTCTCCCCTGACCTTGCACCTTTACCCCCGTTTCCTTATCTTACCTTGTTTCCGCTTCAGGTGGAGGGAGCAGTGTTTGATCTGCCAGAGGACGTGGCAAACGAGTTGCTGAGCTTCTAGATTGTTGTCCCTCTCCCCTGACCTTGCACTGCTTCCGCTTCAGGTGGAGGGAGCGGTGTTTGATCTGCCAGAGGACGTGGCAAAGGAGCTGCTGAGCCTCAAGATTGACAACGGCGATGTCTTTGATATTCCACGCCAGGTGCGTATGCGGGGGAAAGGGGGTGGGGGTGGGGATGGGGGTGGGAAAGGGGAAAGGGGATGGGGGTGGGGATGGGGATGGGGGTGGGGATGGGGGTGGGAAAGGGGAAAGGGGATGGGGGTGGGGATGGGGATGGGGGTGGGGATGGGGGATGGTTGGTTTTGTGGTTCTGCTGCTTTCTACTTGTTACTTAATGTTAGAAGATCAGGGTTGTTGGTTTCTTAGGTTCTGCTCTTTATTCCCCTATCCCGCTCCCCCACATGCTCCTCCCTTCTCCCTGCCTGTGGGCTTTCTTACGTCTTTCCCGTTTCTCTTTTTGCATTGAAGTTTGCCTCTGATATCCATCTTCTTGTGCCTTTCCCACATGCCCCATCCATCCTATATGCCTGTCTCTCAGCTGCCCACGCTAGTGGATGATGATGTGCGAGGCGGCAGGGACAGGGACAACTACGGGCGGTTCGGAGCGAGGGGAGGGGACAGGGGGAGGGGTGGAGGCGACAGGTTCTCCCGTGGTGGGGACAGGGACAGGGGGAGGGGGGGCGACCGTGACAGGGGGTTCAGGCGAGATGACGGTGGCAGGAGAGAGAGGTGAGAATTGTATGACTTATTAGTATGTTTGAGTGTGCTATTGAGGGAGGGGTGGAAGGGACAGGTTTTCTTGTGGTGGGGACAGTGAGAGGGGGAGGGGGGGCGACCGCGGAGGGGGTTCAGGCGTGATGACGTCAATAAGCGAGAGGTGAGTGGTGGGAATGTTGTTATTGTAAATCGTTTCTATCTTATGGAATGATGGGATGGATGCAATGTAAATGGAAGTGGGTGGCTGATGGCACTGGAAGGGCACTGAAGGGGGAGGGGATGGGATGTGACGGGATGGGATGGGATGTGACGGGATGGGATGGGATGGGATGGGATGGGATGGGATGGGATGGGATGGGATGGGACGGGATGGGATGGGATGGGATGGGACGGGATGGGATGGGATGGGATGGGATGGGATGGGATGGGATGGGATGGGATGGGATGGGATGGGATGGGATGGGATGGGATGGGACGGGATGGGATGGGATGGGATGGGATGGATGTACTAGATGTGATGAGAAGAGATGACGGCAGGGGAGCCTTGCATTTTGCCATTGCCTCGCAATGGCAGAAGTGATGTTTTGTCCTTCCGTCACGGAATTGGCTGGTCTCGTGGCTCTTGCTATGTAGATTGTTTTTGAGAATTCTCAAAAACAATCTACATTTTGCCATTGCCTCGCTATGGCAGAAGTGATGTTTTGCCTTCCGTCACGGAATTGGCTGGTCTCGTGGCTCTTGCTCACTTCATTTCGTTCTTCCCTCCTCTCCTCCCTCCCAGGTCTGGCAGCTGGGGCGATGTGGGTGACAGGCGCGGCAGCGGCAGCAGCAGCGGTGGCAGCAGGTTTGGTGGAGATCGCGACCGATTTTCCTCTCGGGATCGCCGCCCGGCTGGCGGAGGGTTGGTCAACCGCCGCAATTTCACCGCTGACGCGTGGGAGAGTGAGGACAGCGACGGGTATTACACCCCATCCCCCTTGGAGTGCACGCGCAGCGCACCCGGTGGATCGTATGGTCGCGGGGGTGCCGGAGGAGGGTTTTCAGGGGTTTGCTTCTTGTGCAAGCAACCTGGGCACAGGGCAGCAGACTGTCCCGTGGTGGCTGCTAGGTAGAGATGCTGGTCGGCTTGGTTACTGAGATTTGATTTACTTTAGGCTTGGAAGTTGAACTGCTAGGCTGCATGGGACAGGGGGCTGGGATGGAAAATGTTTCTGTTGCAAGACACTTGTGCAAAAAGCAGAATAACTGATTCCTCAGTCATTCCCTGCGATGTCATGGGTCAGAAAGCTGTAACATTTGATGTATGAACAGGGAATAGTTGTTTGCACATCCTGTATTCACCAGCACCCAGCACTAACACCAGCACGAACAACAGCACCACACTCAGCAAACGCCAAATATTTGTATGAGTGCTGCAACCTCCCTCACCTCCTCCAGCGCTGCAGCCAAGACTAGCAGCAGCAGCAGCAGCAACCTCGTAGCCAGCTGCAGCAGGCTGCATTGAATAATGATCTCTGAATGAAAAAACACGAGGCTAGTTGTCCGTATTGCACTTCCTGCGTCGTTGACATAAGTATATCTTTTACTGAATCAAAGTGCCTGGGTTCCAGTCTGAGCGGATTGGCATAGGGTTAGAGAGCCTACAATGAAATTCACAGTGAAAAAACAACAGCATCAGCATCAGCAACAGCAAAGCTGGACCATCAAGCTTTTACACTCAATAAACTCCACATTCTAGATGTCAGCGACGCAACCCCTGTCTTCTCCGTGACCTCCCTCACCTCCTCCCCTCGCGCTGCTCTCAAACGAGAAGCCTCTTGCTGGAAGACCAGCAGCACATCCCTCGTGGCCAGCTGCAGCAGGCTGTGAAGGCACCGCTTGAAAATGGCCGGCGGCGCCACTGACGGCTGGACAATTTGGCAGAGCACCAGACGGGAAGCCAGACGAAATCCGTCAGGTACTACAGGGAGACTCAACCCGTCTGCATCCGTCTTCGCGTCCAACGCTTCGCTGGATTCGTCGCTGCTGGTGCTGATCTCGTCGCAGCTGGTGCTACTGCCATCGCTCGATTCTGCAGACTCACAACGGCGTAAGCTGGAATGATCTGGTGACGATAAGGATGCAGCAGTCTGAGACTGTAATGATGCAGCAGATGATGCAGGGACAAGCAGAGGCTGGACTTTCCAAAATCCTTCAAATTTCCGCATGAAGCCTGGTCGAGTCAGGGTGAAAGTCATGGTGCGGTTAGGTCTGTCCTGCACCATGCGCATGTGTGCGTCGAATGTTCCAGTAAAAAACGGCAGCTGAAACGAAAACGCCATGTCCATCTCGACCTCCTTCACCCCGTTACAATCACGCACGACGTGGTGGTTCCGCACCGATTTGATGTTCTTAAACACGCGGCGATTGTAAGGGTCACACACAAGGCTGAAGACCGCGTCTGGAGGAAACGCGACGGTTGCGGTGCCGTCTAGCTGGCAGAGCGCGTTCTGGCCGACAGTGACCGTCATGTCAGGTGCTTCGTCCGTCCAGATGGGGTCCAGAAACCACGCCGCTAGCTGGCTTCTCATGGCTTCCGAAGGATCTTCGTTTAACGGCGAGCATGGTAGCATTGGCGAAGCTGAAGGGGTAGAGGTGACGGACTTTACAGTCATGATGTCGACGATAAAGAAATTCACAGATTTAGAGACAGAATAACCGTTATTCCGGAAGCCTTCTGGATGGTTGGGACGTCGTTGATGTCGAGGTCGAGACTTCTCCCAGCGTTCACCCTCTCATACAAGAATCAGGCAAGGAAGCAGGACCTCAGAAACTCGGAAAACCAGAAGCATTTTCCTGCAAATGATCGGAACTAGCGACTCACGAACTTGCAAAATAGCATCTCTAGGTTGTTTTGGGTCTTCGCCCACCGGACATCCAGCCTGGTTCTGTGTGTTCTCGCACGGTAGAAAGCGGTTTGATTGTTCAACGCATCGACCGTACCAGCAACTCCCAAGAATTTCGACTACAACATCGAGGTTTCCACAGTTGGTTGATCCGAAAGGCACATCCCCTTAGCGGCTCATCCATTCAAGGTGCCTCTCAGCCGTGCGATTGAATGTAAAATGGTGGTGAGCCGTGCGATATTTACCGAACATCAAAATGTCGAATGTTGTTAAATGCGGTTTAGGGATTGTCGCGGCGCGCGCTTGCAAATTCTCCCCGATTTCATTCTTGTCATTTACACTGGTGCAATACTTTCTTACACGCCGGATTTCATTTTTCTAGCTTAAATATTTTCTACTGCTCCTTCCCTTCCCTGGGCTCCAGCTACTGCTCTACAACAGAGATCCAGCAAAACCATAACGCAATGCACCTTCCTTTACTTTGACCCTTAGTTGCAAAGTAGACATGGAAAACAGGGCAAGAACGTACTATACTGGCTTTGCCCTTCCTTTACTTTGGCCCCCTGCTCGTGCCGCTCTTTGGCGCATGAGACTGTCCTCTGGCACCACCGCCTTGGTCACCCGTCTGTGCAGCGCCTTCGGGCCATGCACAAACGGGACCTTGTTGCTGGTCTTCCCAGGGTTCTCCCTCCCCTCCCACCCTCGCCTGCTCCTCCCTGTCTTCCCTGTGTCGAGGGGCGGCAGCGTGCCGCTCCTCACTCCTCCTCCTTTCCCCCGACGACTGCTCCTTTGCAGACGCTCCACATGGACGTGTGGGGCCCAGCCCGCGTCCGTGGTCAGGGTCAGGAGAGGTACTTCCTGATTGTTGTTGACGACTTCTCGCGCTACACCACGGTCTTCCCCTTGCGCACCAAGGGTGACGTCCCTGATGTCTTGATCCCTTGGATCCGCAGATCTCGTCTCCAGCTCAGTGAGCGTTTCCGCTCCGACTTCCCTGTCCTGCGTCTGCACTCTGACAGAGGTGGGGAGTTTTCCTCTGGCCTCTTGGAGACCTTCTGTCAGCAGGAGGGCATTGAGCAGTCGTTCACGCTTCCGGCCTCTCCACAGCAGAACGGGGTTGCTGAGCGCCGCATTGGCTTGGTCATGGAGGTCGCTCGTACCTCCTTGGTTCATGCGGCTGCCCCCCACTTTCTGTGGCCGTTTGCAGTCCGATACGCTGCGCATCAGCTCAACCTCTGGCCCCGTGTCTCCTTGCCGGAGACTTCTCCGACACTGCGTTGGACGGGAGAGGCTGGCGATGCGTCGCGTTTTCGGGTCTAGGGATCCCGAGCTTTTGTTCGCGATACGTCCGCGGACAAGCTCTCTCGTCGAGCTGTCCCCTGTGTCTTCCTTGGCTTTGTCCCGGACGCGCCTGGTTGGCAGTTCTACCACGCCACCTCGCGTCGTGTCCTGGCCTCTCAGGACGTCACTTTTGACGAGTCCGTCCCCTACTACCGCCTCTTCCCCTACCGCACTGCCCCGCTCCCCCCCCCGCCTCTCTTCCTCGCTCCAGGTGCTGAGGTACCAGACCCCCTCCCCCCTCAGGGTGCCGCTCCCTCAGGTGTGTCCCAGGTAGACCCGGTTGAGCCTGTCGAGGTAGCTGTTGACTCTCGTCCTGCTGGGGGTGCTGAGCCTGACCGTGAGGAGTCTGAGGGAGGTGAGCCTGGGGGTGCGGAGCCTGGGGGTGCGGACCCTGGGGGTGCGGAGCATGGAGGTGCTGAGCCTGGGGGTGCGGAGTCTGGAGGTGCTGAGCCTGGAGGTGCTGCGTCTGGCGGTGCTGCGTCTGGGGGTGCTGAGCCTGGGGGTGCTGAGCCTAACCGTGCTGAGTCTGGGGGTGCTGAGCCTGGGGGTGCGGAGTCTGGGGGTGCTGAGCCTGGAGGTGCTGAGTCTGGGGGTGCTGTGTCTGGAGGTGCTGAGCCTGAGCGTGCTCCACCTGGGGGAGCCCTCTCCTCCCAGCAGCTGCAGGAGAGGTACCTACAGTACTGCCGCCTCCGGAGAGGTGCTGCTGGAGCTCGTACCAGTACTTCCCCTCCTACCCAGGAGCTCCCCCCCATTCAGCAGATCCGAGAGTGGTACGCGCGGCGCTGCAGTCTTCGGAGTGGTGCTCCTGGTGCTGCAGACCCTGGGGGTGGCGCTGCTGCTGGTACTGAGGACCCGGGCGTTGGAGCTACTGCTGGTGCTGAGGACCTGGGCGGTGGCGCTGCTGCTGGTGCTGAGGACCCGGGCGTTGGAGCTGCTGCTGGTGCTGAGGACCCGGGCGGTGGCGCTGCTGCTGGTGCTGAGGACCCGGGCGTTGGAGCTGCTGCTGGTGCTGAGGACCCGGACGTTGGAGCTACTGCGGGTACTGAGGACCCTGCTGCTGGTGTCTCTGCTCGTTCTGGAGACGCTGCGCGGCCGCGACCGTACTTCGTACCGCTCCTTCAGCAGGTTCTTGGTCAGACTCCTCCTCCTTGTCCTCCTCCCTCCGTAGAGTGTCCTCCGCCTGTCCCGCCGCAGTCACAGTTACCGCCTGCCTCGCCTCTCCCTGCTCCCTCTCCTTACGCTGGTCCCACGGGAGGTCTTACAGAGCGTCGTGAGCCTGAGTCTCGTCCTGCGTCGCCTGTTCGTACTGCTCGCACTGGCCGTCGTGTCCCACGTGAGCGTCCTCCTCCTGTCCCTGGCACTCACTACATGACTCTGCGTCCCTCCACTGCTCCTCAGCGTGTCCCGCTGCCGTCTCCTCCTGCGTCCTCTCTTCCTACTCTTCCTGACCCGGAGTCTGACTCCCGTCGTGCTGCCAGTCCCACTGTCATGCGTCTTCTCGCTACTATTGTCACTGACCCTACCTTTGAGTCCTCTGCTGCGTCTGCTCTGGTCGCTGAGTTGGTAGACTTTGCTGCCCGGTGTCGTCTAGACTACGCCACTAGCCTTGTTGCTGAGTCCGAGTCTGAGTCTGTCTGTCCTCCGTCCGTCGGGGGTGTGTGTGCTCTTGGCACGGACGTCCTTGAGGACAGACAGGAGGAGTTCCAGTGCTTTGCTGCTGCTTTGCCCCATCTCGTGTCCATGCTAGTTGCCCCTGAGGGAGACCCGGATGCACCAGACATCCCGACCCCGCGCACTTACGCTGAGGCGATGGCGGGTCCCTACTCCTCTCAGTGGCAGACAGCCATGGACGCAGAGATGGCTTCCTGGAAGTCCACACGCACCTACGTCGACGAGGTTCCCCCACCTGGGGCGAACATCGTCAGTGGCATGTGGATTTTCAGGGTGAAGCGGCCACCGGGTTCTCCTCCTGTCTTCAAGGCGCGTTACGTAGCTCGAGGCTTCAGTCAGCGAGAGGGAGTTGACTTCTTCCAGACCTTCTCCCCCACCCCGAAGATGACCACTCTTCGGGTGCTGCTGCACATAGCCGCTCAGCGCGACTACGAGCTTCACTCACTTGACTTCAGCACTGCTTTCTTGCAGGGCAGCCTGCACGAGGAGATCTGGCTACGCCGCCCTCCTGGCTTCACTGGGTCGGTTCCTCCTGGTACCCAGTGGAGGCTCCAGCGGCCGGTCTACGGTCTCCGCCAGGCACCGCGTGAGTGGCACGACACACTGAGGACGACACTTGCGGCTCTTGGGTTCGCTCCCTCTACTGCTGACCCGTCACTGTTTCTACGCACAGACACCTCGCTGCCGCCGTTCTACATCCTCGTGTACGTCGACGACTTGGTCTTTGCCACTGCTGACACCGCGGCACTCGCCCACGTGAAGTCGGAGCTGCAGAGGAGACACACGTGCACAGACCTGGGTGAACTGACAAGCTATCTTGGCTTGCGGATCACCCGGGACAGAGCACGGCGCACCATCACCTTGACTCAGTCACACATGGTGCAGCAGATCCTTCAGCGCTTCCGCTTCACGTACTCCTCGCCTCAGTCCACTCCTCTGCCTACCGGTCACTCGCTCTCAGCTCTGCCTTCGGATGAGTCCGTAGAGCCGAGTGGCCCGTATCCAGAGCTTGTGGGCTGCCTCATGTACCTGATGACCTGCACTCGACCTGACCTTGCATACCCTCTTAGCATCCTTGCACGCTATGTCGCTCCTGGCCGTCACAGGAAGGAGCACATGGATGCCGCTAAGAGGGTGTTGCGCTACTTGTGCAGTACGTCGGGCATGGGGCTAGTGCTTGGAGGGCGAGACCGAGTTGTACTTACTGGACACTCAGACGCTTCTTGGGCGGACGACCAGGCTACTCAGCGGTCGTCTCAGGGTTACACCTTCAGCCTTGGCTCCGGCTCAGTTTCTTGGCGTTCTACACGCTCTTCTTCTGTTCTCAGCTCCATTTGTGAGGCTGAGATCTACGCCACAGCCATGGCTGCCCAGGAGCTACGCTGGCTGACCTACCTGTTGACCGACCTCGGAGAGCGGCCTCGTTCTCCTCCAGTGCTGTACGTCGACAACCAGGCTGCCATTGCCTTGTGTGAGGAGCACAGACTGGAGCACAGAACGAAGCACATTGCCCTGCGGTACTTCCTTGCTCGAGAGCTGCAGCAGCGTGGTCAGCTTTGTCTGCGTTACGTGGCCACTGAGGCCAACCTTGCTGATGTGTTCACCAAGGCGCTTCAGCCTTGTGACCATCAGCGTTTCTGTACTCTTCTAGGCCTTGTGCCTGCTGGACCTCACTTGCTTACTTCTTGACTCTGTTTGTACTGTGATCTCTATATATATATACCTGCATGTTTACACTTGCTAGGTTGTGATCACTGTATGTCTTGCTACATTATCAAACTGCATGTGAACTGGTCTTGTGACCGCTTGCTTGTGCTCGGAATTTGTGTGGTATCCTTGAGATCCACCCTGAGCCTGTTTTGCTTTGCTTTGCTTTGCTTTGACTGGTCTTGTGACCCTCTGGTTGTCTCCCACTTCGCCTATGGGGGTGTGTCAAACATTGTATGTTTATATTGTGTAGGCTATAGTGGGTCTAGCCTTAGAGGGTACACAAACTTAGGGTTTCATACTTGTACCCACCTTCCTGCTAGTTCATCCATTCCTCGTTCAGTTATTCTGACAAAAAATTTCTTATCAGTTAGCCATTTAAAGCCTATATCTGTAATCAGGACGACAATAGGAAGCCAACGATACACTTCTTGTGTTCATACAGCGAACATTGTTATCCGCGGTTTATTGTCAGGCGGTTTCAAGGCGGACGCTAATCTCGATAATGCAAGGACGGACGATGCTACCAAGGTTCGCGCTATTCTTAAGGAGGTTTCCTGGCACATTGGTTTTGTCAAGGCGCTGCGGAGGGTCTTTCAAGACTACATATACTCAAGCATACAGAGGTTCAAACATCAGACAACGTGGGAGCGTCCCGAGCTCAGTCCGTCCTGTGCATCAGCTATCTTGCTGTTATTTCAAGGCTGTCATCATTGCTCGATGGCTCCCCCGATGGCTAACAACTCCTCTGCTGCTGCTGCTGGTGGGATCTTGAATAAGCAGGGCTCTGAGCCGGTCGCGCCGAGGATGCTTTTCAGTGGCAACCAAGGCCCTTTTGTGACAGAGGCCATTAACGCGCTGTCGGCAAAGACGTCAGCACTCAAGATCAATGATCTGTCGGGGGAGGAGACAAGCAAGAAGTCATCAGTGGACGTGACTACGGGGGTGAATCTGACATCGGCGAGCGGAGCTCAAGGAAAGGGCAAAGAGGCGATCAAGGAGGCGGATGAAGAGGAGGGTTACCTCAGTGACGACCCCGACGAGTGACAGGACCCGGAAGCGGTCTCCGCCATCGCGTCGCAAGCGGGGTTCGCCATCACACTGCTTATCCCGTACAAGTGGATCGAGGAAGTCCCGCGTACGACTGACACGGTTCGCGATCTTCTCCTGCTGTGGGAGGAACATTTGACGGAGAATGCTAAGACCAAGACCAAGTGTCACAAGTTGACGCCGACGTGGCTCTCTAAGGAGCGCTTCGGCCGGGTCCAGGTGGTTTTTGTGCACGCTGCGGTTGCGAACTTCATGTGGAGCAGGAAAGTGGAGCATGTGACATTGTCCAATGTGCGTCTGATTCTCGGATGGCAGCACCCGGAGAATCAGGAGTACCTGAAGGAGCGGTCGTTGAAGCCGGACACCATCGAAGTGTTGCTGAGAAATGTCCCAGCTGTCATCACGCCTGAGATGATCCGGAAGAGCCTGGTGACGGCCACTCTGCTGAAGCGCAAACGCTCGGCGTTCCTGGAGGGTTCGGCTTTTCACAGGGTGGTGGACCCGGTTACGGGCTCAGACACGGATAAGATCAAGGGGTTGGTGTACCGCCACCCCGGGGATAAGTATAAGTGGTGGCACAGGCTGACGGATAAGATTCATGGGACAGATCTGCTAGTCTCGTTTCCTGCACTCACCTGCTCGTTTTGCAAGGGCATGCACATGTAGTGTTTCCATGATGAGTATGTGACGGAATGGCAGGACAACTTTACTAAGTGGAACCTGCCGCTGGCAAGGGTGCACGAGATGAATGGTAATCATACCTGTTCGAGCTGTGCTTTTCAGGTTGAAGCAGCTGGCGGCTTTGCTCACCTCTTTACCATCTCCCCTCCGAGCAGCGGCCTCTCTGAAGCTGACTGCAGCTACAAAGGCAATTATGGAGGACCCGGCGATGGTATTCACCTCGACCAGCGGCGCACGGGAGGAGTGGCTGTGCGTTCAGGTGGGATGCGGGAAAGCACACGACGTCAGCTTCGCGAAGACAGCAGAGCGCGTGGCCTCTGTGATGCACTGTACCGAGCGTCTCAAGGGGGGATCGGCGACGCGTCGAAGCAGGGGGAAGATGAACCTCCTGGCGGTCAAGAAGGAGTTCGGGATGTGAGCCCTAGGCGGGAAGGTCCCAGCCTCGGTCTATCCCCTGCAAGCATCAGAACCAGCGCTACAGAGCACGCAAAGCTAGAGAAGGGAGGAGTTTGTTGTTTGGCGTTAGTCTCAGTTGTTTGTACACAGCACAATAAAGCCCGTGGATGCGAGGGGCTCCTGTCATGGTTGATTAATGGATAAGCGCTCACTACTCACCATTTGCGGGGTCAACGTTAACGGCCTCGGTAGCAACGGCAAAAGAACCAAACATCGAGCATGGCTGAAGAAAGCGGCAGATGTGGTTGTGATGTCAGACACGAGGATCAAGGAAGACCATAACTTTTGGACAGAGCTGAGACCAACTGCATGTGCAATGGCGAGCGCAGAGAAAGGTGCAGGAGGAGTGGCGATTGTGGCTTTTAGGAAGCACATCCGGTTCACGGAGGTGATGGCTCACCATACGGGGAGACTGCTAGGGGTGACGGTGGAAGGAGGAGATACAAAGTTTCGTTTGATAGCGGCTTACCTCCCGGCACAACCGGGCAAGCGGACGAAGTTCCATGCAGAGTACCTGGTCCCATTTGCGCAAGCTCAACCTGCAGGAGCGCACCTGGTGCTGGTAGGGGACCTCAACATCATTGCGGACCCGGACCTGGACAGACCATCGAACACGGGGTCCAGTAGGGAGAATCAGCGGTTGCTGGAGGCATGGTCAACCTTTGACCTCCGAGATGCCTTTTGGGCACTTAATCCTGGGGAGAGACAGTACACGTTCAGAGCAAGGCCGTCAGACACCAGATCCAGAATTGACATGGCGCTGGTGTCAACGTCGTTCCTGGGGCAGTTGCTGGAAGCAAGCCACAAGTGGGTGCCGAAGAAGTTGTCAGATCACCAGTTTGCAATCCGGGTCAGCCTCGCTTTCGCGTCATCGCACACTAGCGGACCTGGGATTTGGAGGCTGCAGGCAACGCGAGTAAATCGGAGGGGAATCAGAGCGGTAATACAAAATATTATGGGGACTCCAGACGGGCGGAGCGGACGTGCGCTAGAGCAGATTCTCCCACGTCTGAGCGCGGCCCTGCGGACACACGAAAGGGAGGAACAGAAGCGGGTCGCAGCAACCAGACGACATCTGGAAGCAGAGATCACGAGGCTCAACCACCTGGTCATGGCGGGGCCCACGGAAGCGGCAGTTAAAGAGAGGTTGCTGACCATGGAGGCGCAGCTGGAGGGGTACCAGGAGAGCGAGAGGGAAAGGTTACAGGTATTGGCGGGGCTGGATTTGGAAATGCACGGCGAAATCTCGTCCCCGTATCTGTCGGCCAAAGTCAAGATGAGGAAAGATAAGACGATCATCAAGGAAGTGCTGCACAAGGGGAAGCGGTTCTACGGTTCACAGGAGGTGCTGAAGGCGGCGGCTGATCATTTTCAGGAAGCTTTCAAGAAACATACGGAAGCAGAGGTGGGGAAGGGAGACACAGTAGAGGTGTCCAGGCGGCTACCGGAGGAGGCGGCGGGGAGACTGCGCGCCCCATGGTCAGAGGCGGAGATAAAAGAGGCGCTAGTAGGCTTACCGAGGGGCAAGTCGCCAGGTCAGGATGGATTGCCACCAGAACTTTTTAAGGCGCACTGGGATCTCCTGGGAGGGCCGCTGGTGGAGTTCGCAAGGAGATTAGAGAGGACAGGTCTTCTGGACGAGTCGATTACCACGGCGGTGACGGTCCTGCTGCATAAGAAGGGGCCGGCGGACCAGTTAGGCAACTACAGACCGATCACGTTACTGAGCACGATTTACAAAGTATTGGCGAAGTTACTGGCAAACAGACTCAAGAAAGAGCTGCACCAGATTGTATCCGAGGATCAGCATGGGTTCATACCTGGGAGGTGCCTGGCAGACGCGGTAGCGGTGGTAACAGATGCGGTGGATGCTGCAGGCAATGGAGGGGATGACTGGTTCCTCCTCATGGTGGATTTTCAGAAAGCATACGACACAGTGGCAAGGCCATACCTCTTCGAGACAATGGGAAAGCCGGGGATACCGGACGAGTTCATACGGTGGACTGAGGGACTACACCACGGATCCGGGACAAGGGTGGTGATCAACGGCTGGTTAGGAGAACGGGTGGAGATGCAAAGGGGCGTGCGGCAGGGATGTCCGCTGGCTCAATACCTTTTCCTGTGCGCGCTAGAGCCGCTATGCTGCAAAATCAAAGAGAAGGGATTGGGGGTGAGCGCGGAAGGGGCGGAGGTGCTGTCGTATGTCGGGTACGCTGACGATACAACGTTGATCCTGAAGGGAGTGGAACAGCTGAAAGAAGCAGTGAAGATCTTGGAGCTGTTCGGGGAGCTGTCAGGCCTGAAGACCAACAAAGATAAATCGGTGATCATGCCGCTGGGGAGGAACAAGGGGAAAAGGGATGCACAAGGGGTAAATTTCAAGTGGGCGGAAGCTTGTGTGCCGAAACGCCTTCTCGGAATATGGATCACGCCAGAAGGGGACCCCGGTCCATCCTGGGAAAAGGCATGGGAGAGGGGGAAGGCAGAGCTCGTCAAGTGGGAGAGCCATCATCTACTAACAGCCGCGCGTGTGACGGTAATCAACGCCTACATCATGCCGATTTTCATATTCCAAGCGCAAATTTACCCGCCGCCGGATGAGTTATGGAAGCGCATCCAAAAGACGTGCGACAACTACGTCTCCAGCGGACAGGCCACGTCGGAGAAGCTGTTCGTGCTATGGAGCGGGGAGCTTGCGCACCTGTCAAAGAAGGATGGGGGGCTGAGGCTGGTAGACCCCAAGGCAAGGATTGACAGTATGGCGATCAGAATGGTAGGGAAGCTGGTCTCGGAGCAGAATGCTACGAAGCGATGGCTAGCGGAGAAGGCAGCAGCGCTGCCCCAAGGGGCAGCGACGCTCCTGGCGGACCCGTCTGCATTGAAGCACTACATGGCGGAAGCAAACGTTGGAAAGCGGCGGTGGAGGCTTTCTGGGAGTCCCCGTATGCGGAGCTACCGGAGCCGAAAACTGGCTGGGAGGTGGAGCAGGAGAAAGTTTGTTTCAACCGCAAGGTCATGTTCAGAGGGAAAAGCCCGTATGGGAACCAGCAAGAAACCGAGGGGATAAGACAGATAAGCTTCGGGGACCTGGTGGAGGTAGGGTCGGGGCGCGAACGCACAATAAAGAGCAAGGAGAGCTTGAGACTGGAATTGGGTGGAGTGGCCGCAGCCAGGTGGGCGCTCATGGCCTACGCCGCGATGTCAAAAGAGTGGAAGACAATGCTTACGGCGTGCAGGCCGGCAGGGATGGTAGCAACAACGGCGGAGGTAGTAAGGACGCACCTCCCGCAGACGAACAAGCACCTCTACTGGAAGGTGAAGGGAGTTCAAGACAGCGGGCACGTAGCGCTATCAAGCCTGCGGTGTGCAGAAGGCGGGAGGTTGGAAGAACGAGTAAGGCCGATCAGCGCGGTCTTCAGGGCCTGGAAAGTGGAACCGGTAGTCGTCAGGGGAGGGAGAGTACTGGGAGCGCTGGGGGCGCCGACGACGAGGCTACGGCAGTCGGACTTACTAAACGATGAGGGACAGGCGGCCAGAGTGAAAGATATCCGGCGGAAGCTAATAGGCTGCACAACGACATCGAAAAAGAGGAGCGAGTGGGAAGAGAGATGGGGGAAGAAGATGTTAGAATCTAGCAGCAGGAAAAATGAGTGAACTAGCAGAATGCAGGAGTACAAGTAGTAAACCCTAATTAGGTTGTACCCCATATGGGCTACCCCACTACAGCCTAGACAATATGCAGCATATATGTTTGACACACCCCCATAGGCAAAGTGGGGGAGAACAAGGGGTCAAACGACCAGTCAAGAGAAGCAAAGCAAGCTCAGGGTGGATCTCAACGTCACCACACATTCTGAGCACAAGCAAAGGGCCACAAGGCCAGTCCACATGCAGAGATATATATGCAAAAAAAAACAGTACAGTGATGACTACCTAGCAAGAGCAGGCATGCATGTATATATATAGATCACAGTACAAGCAGAGACTACAGCAAGTGTGGAAACGTAGGCACAAGGCCCAACAGGGTACAAAAGCGCTGATGATCACCAGACGGAAGTGCCTTGGTGAATATATCAGCAGTGTTGGCCCGAGTGGCCACGTGACGAAGACGAAGCTGGCCTCGCTGCTGCAACTCTCGAGCCAGGAAGTAACGCAGAGCAATGTGCTTCGTTCTGTGCTCCAGTCTGTGCTCCTCACACAAGGCAATGGCGGCCTTGTTGTCGATGTACAGCACTGGAGGAGAACGAGGCTGCTCTCCCAAGTCAGTCAGCAGGTAGGTGAGCCAGCGTAACTCCTGTGCAGCCATGGCTGTGGCGTAGATCTCAGCCTCACAACTGGAGCTGAGAACTGAAGACGAGCGTGTAGAACGCCACGAAACTGAACCAGAGCCAAGGCTGAAGGTGTAACCCTGTGACGACCGCTGAGTAGCCAGGTCGTCAACCCAAGAAGCGTCTGAGTGCCCAGTGAGGACAACTGGGCTCGTCCCTCCAAGCACTAGCCCCATGCCTGATGTGCTGCACAAGTAGCGCAGTACCCTCTTAGCAGCAGCCATGTGCTCAGGTTGGTGCCGACCAGGAGCCACGTAGCGAGCCAGAAGACCAAGAGGGTACGCGAGGTCAGGTCGAGTGCAAGTCATCAGGTACATGAGGCAGCCGACTAGCTCTGGGTAAGGACCACTCGGCTCTACGGACTCGTCTGAAGGTGGAGCTGAGAGCGAGTGACCTGTAGCCAGAGGAGTGGCCTGTGCTGAAGACCAGGTGAAGCCGAAGCGCTGAAGGACCTGTTGCACCATGTGTGACTGAGTCAGGGTGATGGTGCGGCGTGCTCTGTCCCGGGTGATCTGCAAGCCAAGGTAGCTGCGCAGCTCACCCAAGTCTGTGCACGTGTGTCTCTTCTGCAGCTCCGACTTCACGTGGGCGAGAGCCTCAGTGTCAGAAGTGGCAAAAACCAAGTCGTCGACGTACACGAGGATGTAGAACGGCGGCAGTGAAGTGTCGGTGCGCAGAAACAGCGACGGGTCAGCAGTAGAAGGCGCGAACCCAAGAGCCGCAAGCGTAGTCCTCAGTGTGTCGTGCCACTCACGTGGCGCCTGGCGGAGACCGTAGACCGGCCGCCGGAGGCTCCACTGGGTGCCAGGAGGGAACGACCCAGTGAAGCCCGGGGGGCGGCGCAGCCAGATCTCCTCGTGCAGGCTGCCCTGCAAGAAAGCTGTGCTGAAGTCAAGAGAGTGAAGCTCGTAGTCACGGTGAGCAGCAACATGCAGCAGCACCCGAAGAGTGGTCATCTTTGGGGTGGGGGAGAAGGTCTGGAAGAAGTCAACTCCCTCTCGCTGACTGAAGCCTCGAGCTACGTAACGCGCCTTGAAGACAGGCGGAGAACCCGGCGGCCGCTTCACCCTGAAAATCCACATGCCACTGACGATGTTCGCCCTAGGTGGGGGAACCTCGTCAACGTAGGTGCCTGTGGACTTCCAGGAAGCCATCTCTGCGTCCATGGCTGCCTGCCACTGAGAGGAGTAGGGACCCTCTATCGCCTCTGCGTAAGAGCGCGGAGTCGGGATGTCTGGTGCATCCGGGTCTCCCTCAGGGGCAAGTAGCGAGGACACAAGATGAGGTAAAGCAGCAGCAAGACACTGGAACTCCTCGTGTCTGTCCTCAAGGACGTCCGTGCTAAGAGCACACTCACCCCCGACGGACGGAGGACAGACAGATTCAGACTCAGCAACAAGACTGGCGGTGTAGTCTAGACGACAGGCAGCAGCAAAGTCAACAAGCTCAGCGACCAAGGCAGACGCAGCAGTAGACTCAAACGACAGGTCAGTGACAATAGTGGCTAGGAGACGCGTGACAGTAGGGTGCTCAGTACGAAACCGGTCAGACTCAGGGTCCGGAACGGCAGGCAGAGAGGACGCAGGAGGAGACGGCAGAGGAACAGGCGGCGGAGCAGAGGAAGGACAACGGACTACGAGGTGTGCGCCGGGGACAGCCGGCTGACGCGAACGAGGAACACGACGACCGGTACGACCAGGACGAACAGGCGAAACAGGACGCGACGCAGGCTCACGACGCTCAACAGGACTACCAGTCAGCTCAGTGTAAGGAGAAGGAGCAGGCAGCGGTGAGCCAGACTGTAACGGAAGACCAGTAGACGACGGAAGAGTAAGAACCTGACGAAGAACAGAGGCAGACGGCGGCAGAGACGATGGAGACGGCGGAGCGAAGAACAGTCGTGTCGGCGCAGCTGCACCAGTACCAGCAGCTCCAGCAGCTCCAGTGCCTCCAGCAGCTCCAGTACCTTTAGCAGCTCCAGTACCTCCAGCAGCTCCAGAAGCTCCAGGCCCAGAGCCGACACCTCGAGTCCCAGGGTCTCCAACCTCTGTGTCTCCAGCAGCAGCACCCCCAGAACCAGCACCTCCAGTCCCAGGGTCTCCAACCTCAGGGTCGCCAGCAGTAGCACCCCCAGAACCAGCACCTCCAGCTCCAGGGTCTCCAACCTCAGTGTCTCCAGCAGCAGCACCCCCAGAGCCAGCACCTCCAGTCCCAGGGTCTCCAGCCTCAGTGTCTCCAGCACGAGCCCCTCCAGAACCAGCAACTCCAGCACCTCCAGTAGACAAAGGACCAGCACGACTCCGAGCTCCAGCAGCGCGGCGCTGACGGCGACCGTACCAGTCCTGCAGCTGCTGTGGGGTGAGAGGCACACGTGGACGAAGGCGGCCACTCCAAGGAGACCGCGCAACAGCAGACTCAGAACCCTCAGCGCCCGCACCCCCAACGGCTCCAGAACCTCCGGTGTCAGTACCCTCAGCACCAGTACCTCCAGCGGCTCCAGAACCAACAGCGCTAGCACCCTCAGCAGCTCCAGAACCTCCAGCTCCAGCGTCACCAGTACTAGGCCCTCCAGCAGCTCCCGAACCTCCAGCGCCAGCACCCTCAGTAGCTCCAGAACCTCCAGCGTCAGTACCGCCAAGCTCAGCACCCCCAGACCCCTCACACTCAGGCTCAGCACCACCAGGCTCTACACCCTCAAGCTCCGCACCCGCAGGCTCAGTACCCCCAGGCTCAGCACCCCCAGGCTCCGCACCCCTAGGCTCAGCACCCCCAGAAGTAGCACCCCGAGCAGGACCACTCTCAGTAGGACCTGAGTCACCAGTGACCTCAACCGGCGCAGTCAAGGGAGGAGGGTCTACCTGAGAAACACCTGAAGGAGCAGGACCAGGAGCGGGGAGGGGGTCTACCTGGGGAGCACCTGGAGCGAGGAAGAGCGGCGGGGGGGGGAGCGAGGCAGTGCGGTAGGGGAAGAGACGGTAAAAGGGAACCGACTCGTCGAACGTGACGTCCTGAGACGCAAAGACACGGCGCGAGGTGGGGTGGTAAAACTGCCAACCAGGCGCGTCAGGGACAAAGCCAAGGAAGACACAGGGGACAGCGCGGGCGGAGAGCTTGTCCGCGGTGGTATCGCGGACAAAGGCACGAGCACCCCAGACCTGGAAACGCGACGCATCGCCAACCTTCCCCGTCCACATCAGTGTGGGCGAGGTCTCCGGCAAGGAGACACGGGGCCAGAGGTTGAGCTGATGCGCGGCGTACCGGACCGCAAACGGCCACAGAAAATGGGGGGCAGCCGCATGGATCAGGGAGGTACGAGCGACCTCCATGACTAAGCCAATGCGGCGCTCAGCAACCCCATTCTGATGTGGAGAGGCCGGAAGCGTGAACGACTGGGTGATGCCGTGCTCCGCACAGTAGGCTGCCAAGAGGTTGGAGGAGAACTCACCACCTCTGTCAGAGTGCAGACGCAGGACAGGAAAGTCCGACCGGAACCGCTCGCGGAGCTGGAGACGAACTCCTTGGGGATCAAAACAGCAGGGACATCCGCCTTGCTCCGCAAGGGGAAGACCGTGGTGTAACGCGTGTAGTCGTCGACAACCAGCAGGAAGTACCGCTCGTGGCCCTGTCCCTGGACGCGGGCTGGGCCCCACACGTCCAGGTGGAGCGTCTGCAGTGGAGCCTCTGTGGGAGGAAACGAGGAGGAGTGAGGAGCGGCGCGCTGCCGCCCCTCGACGCAAGG